CAATATGGCCGCCGGGTTATTCAAGATGGCTGCCAACAGGAAATCCAGACAATATTTTTCAAATATCCATCCATCCATTTTCTTCCGCTTTATCCGTTGCCGGGTCGCGGGGGCAGCAGTCTAAGCAGAGACGCCCAGACTTCCCTATCCACACACACTTCCTCCAGCTCGTCCGGGGGGACCCCAAGGCGTTCCCAGGCCAGCTGAGAGACATGGTCCCTCCAGCGTGTCCTGGGTCTTCCCCGGGACCTCCTCCCGGTGGGACGTGCCCGGAACACCTCCCCAGGAAGGCGTCCAGGAGGCATCCTGAACAGATGCCCGAGCCACCTCAACTGGTTCCTCTCAACGTGGAGAACTTTACTTGTACTTACTTTGTACACTCACGATTGTGTGTCCTCCTCTTACTCAAATCTGATCATCAAATATGCTGATGACACCACCATCATCGGTCTCATCAGTGACAATGATGATTCCTCTTATAGAGCAGAGATCGAACATGTTTTTCAGTGGAGTAAAGTAAACAATCTCCAGCTGAACACTGCAAAAACATGTGAACTTGTCTTTGACTTCAGTCGTAGCAGTTCTCACACTCCTGTTGTTATTGACAACTCCCAGGTGCAGATCGTAGAGGAGTGCAAGTTTCTGGGTTTAACTCTGTCTAACCTGAAATGGGTTAAAAACACTGACCGGGTTGTTAAGAAAGCTCGTCAGCGGCTCTTCTTTTTGCGGAAACTTAGAGAATTTACCACTAACTCTAAGATTGTGCTTAACTTTTATGGCTGCACCATTGAGAGTTTACTTGTTGGTTCTGTGTCTGTGTGGTTTGGAAACATCACAGATAAAGAAAAGAGAGCTTTAAACAAGGTGCTCCGCTCTGCAAAGAGGACCGTGGGCTGTGAGCTTCCTGTTCTGGAGGTTCTTTACAAATCCAGACTTTTAAACAAAGCTCTTAAAATCATCGGTGACTCTTCTGGCCACCCTGGGAAAGCAATGTTCCAGCTTCTTCCCTCTGGCAGAAGATATCGGTCACTGAGATGCAAGACATCTCGCTATGCTAACAACTTCTTTCCACAGGCTGTTAGGTGCCTAAACAGAGCACTTTAATTCCTGCTTTTACCCCTTGTATTGTTTTGTTGATCGGTGCCACAGTGTCAGCTGTTTTTTTTACTATTTTATATTCAGTGTATGTGTATTTTATATTACATTGTATCGTGCTTTTATTCTGTCGGTGCACACAGAGTACCTCTTTTTTATTCCAATGTAGTTTTTATACTGCACATGGCCAATAAATGAATCTGAATATGAATCTGAATCTGAGAAGCAGCGGCTCTACTCCGAGCTCCTCCCGTGTGACTGAGCTCCTCACCCTATCTCTAAGGGAGCAGCGGCTCTACTCCGAGCTCCTCCCGTGTGACTGAGCTCCTCACCCTATCTCTAAGGGAGCAGCCACTCTGCGGAGGAAGCTCATTTCAACCGCTTGTATCCGCGATCTCGTTCTTTCGGTCATTACCCAAAGCTCATGACCATAGGTGAGGGAGGGAACGAAGATTGACCGGTAAATCGAGAGCTTTGCCTTTCGGCTCAGCTCCCTCTTCACCACAACGGTCCGATACAGCTCTGACTGCAGACGCTGCTCCCTCTTTACCACAACGGTCCAATACAGAGACCGCATCACTGCGCACGCTGCACCGATCCGCCTGTCAATCTCACGCTCCATCCTTCCCTCACTCGTGAACAAGACCCCGAGATACTTCAACTCCTCCACTTGAGGAAGGACCCCTCCACCTACCCGGAGAGGGCAAGGCACCTTTTTCCGGTTGAGCACCATTTGGATGGAGATTTGGAGGAGCTGATTCTCATCCCAGCCGCTTCACACTCGGCTGCAAACCGTCCCAGTGCATGTTGCAGGTCCTGGTTCGTTGGAGCCAACAGGACAACATTGTCCGCAAACAGCAGAGATGAAATCCTGTGGTCCCCGAACCGGACCCCCTCCGACCCATGGCTGCGCCTAGATATTCTGTCCATGAATACAGTGAACAGAACCGGTGACAAAGGGCAGCCCGGACCGGACGGCCCTCAGCAGAGGACCCCGGACCCCATACTCACGGCGAACCCCCCAAAGGACACCCCGGGGAACACGGTCGAACGCGTTCTCCAAATCCACAAAGCACATGTGGACAGGTTGGGCAAACTCCCATGAACCCTCAAGTATCCGATGGAGAGTGTAGAGCTGGTCCAGTGTTCCGCGACCGGGACGAAAACCACACTGCTCCTCCTGAATCCGAGATTTGACCATCGGCCTTAGCCTCCTCTCCAGTACCTTGGAGTAGACCTTACCTGGGAGGCTGAGGAGTGTGATCCAACGACAATTGGAACACACCCTCCGATCCCCCTTCTTGTAGAGAGGGACCACCACCCCGGTCTGCCACTCCATTGGCACCGCCCCCAATCGCCACGCGATGTTGCAGTGACGTGTCAGCCAAGACAGTCCCACAACATCCAGAGACTTTAGAGTCAGGACGGATCTCATCCACTCCCGGCGCCTTGCCACCATGGAGGCTGCCAATCACCTTGGTGACCTCTGCCAGAGAGATAGAAGTACCCCCCCCCCAACATCCTCAGCCTCTGCCTCCGGGACGAAGGACATGACGGGGGGATTGAGGAGAACCTCGAAGAATTCCTTCCACCGCCTGACAATATCCCTAGTCAAGGTCAGCAGCTCTCCACCCGAACCATACACGGTGTTGGCAAAGAACTGCTTCCCCCTCCTGAGGCGCCGGACGGTTTGCCAGAACCTTTTTGAGGCCGACCGATAGTCCTGCTCCATGGACTCTCCAAACTCCTCCCAGTCCCGGGTTTTTTCCTCTGCAACAGCCACGGCACGCTTGGCCAGCCAATACTGGACAGCTGCCTCAGGAGTCCCACGAACCATCATGGCCATCTTCAGCCTTCAGCCTGTCCACCACCGGGTTCAGGGGTTACCGCCGGGACCAGCACCAGAGACTTTGCGACCACAGCTACGAGCTGCAGCATCGGCGATAGAGGAAGAGAACATGGTCCACTCGGTCTCGATATCCCCCTCCTCCGCCGGGACCTGGGAGACGCTCTCCCGGAGGTGTGAGTTGAAAGTCCGTCTGACTGGGGGCTCAGCGAGACGTTCCCAGCAGACCCTCACTATACGCTTGGGTCTGCCAGGTCTGACCGGCTTGCTCCCCTGCCAGCGGTTCCAACAAAGTCAATCATCGACCTCCGGCCTAGGGTATCCTGGTGCCACGACCACTGGTGGACACCCTTGTGCTCGAACATGGTATTCGTGATGGACAAACTATGACTAGCACAGAAGTCCAACAACTGAACACCGCTCGGGTTCAGATCAGCGGCGCCGTTCTTCCCAATCACCCCTCTCCAAGTGTCACTGGCGACTCCCACATGGGCCTTGAAGTCCCCCAGGAGAATAATGGAGTCCCCGGGCGGTGCACTGTCCAGTACACCTCCCAAGGACTTCAAGAAGGCAGAGTACTCTGCACTACCGTTAGGCCCGTAGGCCGTCACAACAGTGAGAGACTTGTCCCCCACCTGAAGGCGGAGGGATGCGACCCTCTCATTCACCAGGGAGAACTCCATCACGTGGCGGCTGAGATGGGGGGCAATGTATGGCCACCCCAGCTCGCCGCCTCTCCCCGCGGGAAACATCAGAGAAGTGGAGCGTCCAACCCCTCTCGAGGAGTTGGGTTCCAGAGCCCAAGCTGTGTGTGGAGGTGAGGCCGACTATCTCTAGTCGGTATCGCTCAACCTCCCCCACAAGCTCGGTCTCCTTCCCCCCTAGTGAGGTGACGTGCCACGTTCCAAGAGCCAGATGTTGGGTGTGTGGACTGGGTCGCCGAGGTCTTCGCCTTCGACTGCCGCCCAGTCCTCTCTGCACCACGCCGCCACGGACCCCTCTGCAGGTGGTCGGCCCACAGAAGGGACTGCCCACGTCGTCTCTTCGGGCTGAGCCCGGCCGGGCCCCGTGAGCTAAGGCCCGGTCACCAGGCGCTTGCTTGCGAGCCCCAACCCCAGGCCTGGCTCCAGAGTGGGGCCCCTGCTGCGCCATGCCGGGCGACGTCACGGTTTTCATTGTCGTGCTGTCCATTGTTGGCTTCGGACTGCTCGTCACCTGAGACCTGTCTGCCAGGTATGGCATGAAGCCCCAGACAACATAGCTCCCAGGATCACCCGAGTACTCAAACGCCCCCACCACGTTAAGGTGGCAGTCCAGGGGGGAGGTACTATAATTATATTATGTATATAATTGTCTGAATTATATACATGTATAATTCAGACAATGTTTAAAATCAGGTTAAAACAGTTCTGTTTAGCTGGGCTACAACTGAGGAATTTGGAATTTTTTACTTTCTTTTTAATGCACTGTGATTATTTATTGATATTATTATCATCATTATTATTATTATTATTATCTATCTTGTCTTGTTCAGCACTTTCAGGTGCCCTGTGCATGAATTGTGCTATACAAATAAGTCTAGATAATCAGTTCTTGTATCTCTTCCAACTGCTCCCACAGCTCTCTTCACACCTAACTGCTTACCTACTGCAGATCCAGTCTTCCCAGCCTGGTGCAGGTCTACATGTGTGTTTCTAGTGTCCTTTGACAGCTCTTTGGTCTTGGCCACAGTGGAGTTTGGAGTGTGACTGTGTGAGGTCGTGGACAGGGGTCTTTGACACAGATAGAGTTAAAACAGACATTAATAAAGTAAACGAGTGGAGGACAGAGGAGTCTCTTAAAGGAGAAGTTACAGACTGTGAGGGACAGAAAACTGACTTTAATCTGACTAAATACTTATTTTCCACCAGCAGGGCGGCGTCATTGAGCAGTGAACGCTCCAATGATCGATGGATTGACTTTAAAAAGGACGATCAGCGGTAAGTCTGACTGTAACTCATGTGTGTCTGAGGCTAAGCAGGTCAGGGCCTGGTCAGTGATGTGATGGGGGGCTATTGCTATGGTAGCACTGCCCTCACAGCTCAGAGATGAGAATCCAGCAGTGTCAGAGCTCAGACTAAAGCCACTGCTCAGTCTGCGCAGTAGTAATAGTAATAATAATGGTAAAAGACTGAGACTGGGTGGTCCTCAGAGAGACCAGAAGACTGGGTGGTCCTCACAGAGACCAGAGGACTGGGTGGTCCTCACAGAGACCAGAGGACTGGGTGGTCCTCACAGAGACCAGAGGACTGGGTGGTCCTCACAGAGACCAGAGACTGGGTGGTCCTCACAGAGACCAGAGGACTGGGTGGTCCTCACAGAGACAGAGGACTGGGTGGTCCTCACAGAGACCAGAGGACTGGGTGGTCCTCAGAGAGACCAGAGGACTGGGTGGTCCTCACAGAGACCAGAGGACTGGGTGGTCCTCACAGAGACCAGAGGACTGGGTGGTCCTCACAGAGACCAGAGGACTGGGTGGTCCTCACAGAGACCAGAGGACTGGGTGGCCTCACAGAGACCAGAGGACTGGGTGGTCCTCACAGAGACTAGAGGACTGGGTGGTCCTCACAGAGACCAGAGGACTGGGTGGTCCTCACAGAGACCAGAGGACTGGGTGGTCCTCACAGAGACTAGAGGACTGGGTGGTCCTCACAGAGACCAGAGGACTGGGTGGTCCACACAGAGACCAGAGGACTGGGTGGTCCTCACAGAGACCAGAGGACTGGGTGGTCCTCACAGGGACCAGAGGACTGGGTGGTCCTCACAGAGACCAGAGGACTGGGTGGTCCTCACAGAGACCAGAGGACTGGGTGGTCCTCACAGAGACCAGAGGACTGGGTGGTCCTCACAGAGACCAGAGGACTGGGTGGTCCTCACAGAGACCAGAGGACTGGGTGGTCCTCACAGAGACCAGAGGACTGGGTGGTCCTCACAGAGACCAGAGGACTGGGTGGTCCTCACAGAGACCAGAGGACTGGGTGGTCCTCACAGAGACCAGAGGACTGGGTGGTCCTCACAGAGACCAGAGGACTGGGTGGTCCTCACAGAGACCTAGAGGACTGGGTGGTCCTCACAGAGTCTAGAGGACTGGGTGGTCCTCACAGAGACCAGAGGACTGGGTGGTCCTCACAGAGACTATTGACTCTGTTTATTTAAACAGTGTTAAATAAACACACTATCACACATTTCCCAAACCTCTCAAAGACTACACTTCCCAGCATGCCTGGTGTCATGTGGCCTGTACAATATGTGCCTCTGTTCTCACATATGTCAGCGCCAAAACAAACTCTATCTATCACACACATACAGAGCTCTAACTCTAACTAACTCTATCTATCACACACATACAGAGCTCTAACTCTAACTAACTCTATCTATCACACACATACAGAGCTTTAACTCTAACTAACTCTATCTATCACACACATACAGAGCTCTAACTCTAACTAACTCTATCTATCGGACACATACAGAGCTTTAACTCTAACTAACTCTATCCATCACACACATACAGAGCTTTAACTCTAACTAACTCTATCTATCACACATACAGAGCTCTAACTCTAACTAACTCTATCTATCACACACATACAGAGCTCTAACTCTAACTAACTCTATCTATCACACACATACAGAGCTCTACTTATATCTCCACTGCCACTGTGAAATCTACTACAACAGTCAACTCTAACTAACTCTGACTAACTCTTACTAAGTTAGATACATACCAATGGGCTGTGTGTTCCTAACTTTAACTAACTCTGACTAATTCCGACCCTGACTATCTCTAACTAAATGACTAACTACAACTAACTCTTCCTAAATCTAACTAACTCTTAACTAACTCTGAATTACTCTAACTAACTCTGACCCTGACTAACTCCAACTAACTCTGACCCTGACTAGCTCTAACTTACTCTAACTAACTAACTAACTCTGACTAACTCTGACTAAGGATGTTCCCACCCCCTTTCACTTCCAAACTTCCAGTTGAGTTATTACAAAAAGTTCTGTTTTGGTTTCATCTGATCATAGGACAGTCTCCCAATCCTCTTCTGGATCATCCAAATGCGCTGTAGCAAACTTCAGGAGATTATCAGCTCTCTTCACACCTAACTGCTTACCTACTGCAGATCCAGTCTTCCCAGCCTGGTGCAGGTCTACATGTGTGTTTCTAGTGTCCTTTGACAGCTCTTTGGTCTTGGCCACAGTGGAGTTTGGAGTGTGACTGTGTGAGGTCGTGGACAGGGGTCTTTGACACAGATAGAGTTAAAACAGACATTAATAAAGTAAACGAGTGGAGGACAGAGGAGTCTCTTAAAGGAGAAGTTACAGACTGTGAGGGACAGAAAACTGACTTTAATCTGACTAAATACTTATTTTCCACCAGCAGGGCGGCGTCATTGAGCAGTGAACGCTCCAATCATCGATGGATCAACTTTAAAAAGGACGATCAGCGGTAAGTCTGACTGTAACTCATGTGTGTCTGAGGCTAAGCAGGTCAGGGCCTGGTCAGTGATGTGATGGGGGCTATTGCTATGGTAACACTGCCCTCACAGCTCAGAGATGAGAATCCAGCAGAGTCAGAGCTCAGACTAAAGCCACTGCTCCGTCTGTATAGTAAGTAGTTAGTAAGTCATCTTTATTTATATAGCGCCTTTCACAGACCAGAGTCACAAAGCGGTTTACAATTGTTACTTTTTTTGGGCATTTGTCTCTCACTCCACACAGAGATGGGAGGTATAGTAGTAACAGTTATAGTAGTAATGATGGTAAAAGACTGAGACCGCTCAACAATATCTGACTGAACACAGAGACCAGAGGACTGGGTGGTCCTCACAGAGACCAGAGGACTGGGTGGTCCTCACAGAGACCAGAGGACTGGGTGGTCCTCACAGAGACCAGAGGACTGGGTGGTCCTCACAGAGACCAGAGGACTGGGTGGTCCTCACAGAGACCAGAGGACTGGGTGGTCCTCACAGAGACCAGAGGACTGGGTGGTCCTCACAGAGACCAGAGGACTGGGTGGTCCTCACAGAGACCAGAGGACTGGGTGGTCCTCACAGAGACTAGAGGACTGGGTGGTCCTCACAGAGACCAGAGGACTGGGTGGTCCTCACAGAGACTAGAGGACTGGGTGGTCCTCACAGAGACTAGAGGACTGGGTGGTCCTCACAGAGACCAGAGGACTGGGTGGTCCTCACAGAGACTATTGACTCTGTTTATTTAAACAGTGTTAAATAAACACACTATCACACATTTCCCAAACCTCTCAAAGACTACATTTCCCAGCATGCCTGGTGTCATGTGGCCTGTACAATATGTGCCTCTGTTCTCACATGTGTCAGCGCCAAAACAAACTCTATCTATCACACACATACAGAGCTCTAACTCTAACTAACTCTATCTATCGCACACATACAGAGCTCTAACTCTGACTAACTATCTATCGCACATACAGAGCTCTAACTCTAACTAACTCTATCTATCACACACATACAGAGCTCTAACTCTAACTAACTCTATCTATCACACACATACAGAGCTTTAACTCTAACTAACTCTATCTATCACACACATACAGAGCTCTAACTCTAACTAACTCTATCTATCACACACATACAGAGCTCTAACTCTAACTAACTCTATCTATCACACACATACAGAGCTCTAACTCTAACTAACTCTATCTATCACACACATACAGAGCTCTAACTCTAACTAACTCTATCTATCGCACACATACAGAGCTCTACTTATATCTCCACTGCCACTGTGAAATCTACTACAACAGTCAACTCTAACTAACTCTGACTAACTCTTACTAAGTTAGATACATACCAACGGGCTGTGTGTTCCTAACTTTAACTAACTCTGACTAATTCCGACCCTGACTATCTCTGACTAAATGACTAACTATAACTAACTCTTCCTAAATCTAACTAACTCTTAACTAACTCTGAATTACTCCAACTAACTCTGACCCTGACTAGCTCTAACTTACTCTAACTAACTATAACTAACTCTGACTAACTACTAAGGATGTTCCCACCCCCTTTCTCTTCCAAACTTCCAGATGAGTTTTTACAAAAAGTTCTGTTTTGGTTTCATCTGATCATAGGACAGTCTCCCAATCCTCTTCTGGATCATCCAAACGCGCTGTAGCAAACTTCAGGAGATTATCAGCTCTCTTCACACCTAACTGCTTACCTACTGCAGATCCAGTCTTCCCAGCCTGGTGCAGGTCTACATGTGTGTTTCTAGTGTCCTTTGACAGCTCTTTGGTCTTGGCCACAGTGGAGTTTGGAGTGTGACTGTGTGAGGTCGTGGACAGGGGTCTTTGACACAGATAGAGTTAAAACAGACATTAATAAAGTAAACGAGTGGAGGACAGAGGAGTCTCTTAAAGGAGAAGTTACAGACTGTGAGGGACAGAAAACTGACTTTAATCTGACTAAATACTTATTTTCCACCAGCAGGGCGGCGTCATTGAGCAGTGAATGGTCCAATGATCGAGGGATCAACTTTAAAAAGGACGATCAGCGGTAAGTTTGACTGTAACTCATGTGTGTCTGAGGCTAAGCAGGTCAGGGCCTGGTCAGTGATGTGATGGGGGGCTATTGCTATGGTAACACTGCCCTCACAGCTCAGAGATGAGAATCCAGCAGTGTCAGAGCTCAGACTAAAGCCACTGCTCCGTCCGCGCAGTAGTAATAGTAATAATAATGGTAAAAGACTGAGACTGGGTGGTCCTCACTGAGACTAGAGGACTGGGTGGTCCTCACAGAGACCAGAGGACTGGGTGGTCCTCACAGAGACTAGAGGACTGGGTGGTCCTCACTGAGACTAGAGGACTGGGTGGTCCTCACAGAGACCAGAGGACTGGGTGGTCCTCACAGAGACCAGAGGACTGGGTGGTCCTCACAGAGACCAGAGGACTGGTCCTCACAGAGACTAGAGGACTGGGTGGTCCTCACAGAGACCAGAGGACTGGGTGGTCCTCACAGAGACCAGAGGACTGGGTGGTCCTCACAGAGACCAGAGGACTGGGTGGTCCTCACAGAGACTAGAGGACTGGGTGGTCCTCACAGAGACCAGAGGACTGGGTGGTCCTCACAGAGACTATTGACTCTGTTTATTTAAACAGTGTTAAATAAACACAATATCGCACATTTCCCAAACCTCTCAAAGACTACACTTCCCAGCATGCCTAGCGGCATGTGGCCTGTACAATATGTGCCTCTGTTCTCACATGTGTCGGCGCCAAAACAAACTCTATCTATCGCACACATACAGAGCTCTAACTCTAACTAACTCTATCTATCACACACATACAGAGCTCTAACTCTAACTAACTCTATCTATCACACACATACAGAGCTCTAACTCTAACTAAGTCTATCTATCGCACACATACAGAGTTTTAACTCTAAATAACTCTATCACACACATACAGAGCTTTGTCACCTGTCTCCCATGAGATCCTCACAGAGACTGAGCAGGGGTACCCTGTCGCCCATGAGATCCTCACAGACATTAATAAAGGCTCAACCTATCATTGTGAAGCAGAATTCACCAAGCGTTGGATTGTTCACCCACTAATAGGGAACGTGAGCTGGGTTTAGACCGTCATGAGACAGGTTAGTTTTACTGATGATGTGTTGTTGCAATAGTAATAAGAGTGGAGGACAGAGGAGTCTCTTAAAGGAGAAGTTACAGACTTTCCACCTGTTCCACAGAAGATCAGGTTCCTGCACAAAATAGTTTTGGAGAAGGATTGACTAAGTTATGTATTAAAAAGAGTTTAATGCAGAATCAGAACACATTTAACCAATTCAGGCCTAGCGCTTCAGCCCAGGACACCACCATCAGTTTAAATACAGTCTTTAAAATGTTCCCATTTAGTCTCATAGTTGAGGTAAACTATGATAAAAGGCCTCTCTCCTTTTGAAGTGGGAGGACTTGTCTAACTGACTAAATACTGTGTTTCCCTCTGTAAGTGTCTCTGTCTCTCCACAGAGCGACTGCAGAGGTCTCCAGTGGTCCGCACCATCGCACAGGCCAGGACTCTGTATTTAAGGTCTGTCATTCACTCACGTTTGGAGATGTTCAGCTGAAGGACTAGTTTCACACACATGTGACACTGATGTGTTCCATCTCCTGGTGTTAAAGCACAGTTTGAAGTGTGACATCAGTAACAGGAGGTGGAAACACAACCACAGAAACTCATGAAGAGAATATAAAACCCACTCTGTTCTGAAGACACAAGACGAACAAAGAGACAAGTGAAAATGATCAGGCTGAATCCTGGAGCTTCCTCTGAATCATTAGATACACAGCACAGAGTCTTGATACATCACTGAGAAGTTCAGGTTTCAAAGCCAAACATAGACCTGAATGATCTCAGTCTCAGACTCTGGCCACCCTTCTGCTCTCGTTCTCCTAGATTAACTCATTGACTGCCAGCCTATTTCAGAACAGGTACTCCCATATTGCCAGCCGTTTCTGATGATTTTTACTGATTTTTCAAGACCCACAGAATATTGTGTACTATGACTAAAAAATAATTTTGTTTCTAGCTTGTTTTGTTCCCCTGTATTCCCCAGTTGAGTAGAGGTAAGTTTTACTGAAATCACCAGAAAGCTGAGAAAAAAGAGGCACAACATGTGCATCTGGCTGTTTTCAAACCATTCAGAGAGAAATGCTGCCACCTGCTGGCTCGATAAAATATGGTCTCAAGCCATCCCCATACATATTAGATACAATAGACATCTGGGAACGTAAAAATAGCGGGACACGCAATTGACGTGTTAACGGGTCAATGGCGGTCAATGACCATCAGCCTTCGATACGGTGGACCGTCACAGGAACTGCACTTTCAGTCCTGTCTCACGGATTGATCTTTTTCTGTCCAACTGTGACAGTTCTCTAAAGTATGAGACTTAAAGTGAGGAGTGCCCCAAGGCAGTATTTTAGGCCCCACCCTCTTTTGCCTTTACTTGCTTCCCCTGGGAGCTATATTTAAGAAGCAGAATATTGATAACCACTGCTTTGCTGATGATGTCCAAATATATCTATAATAATATATCTGCCCATTCGAACCGTTCTGAACCAAAACTTGTTTGAAGGAAGTTCAGGATGCAGTCAAACTGAGGAGATGGAACTGATCCATCAGACCTGACTGAAACCAGGAAGTGTGGCGCACGGACCATCAACAGGGACCAGGGGGTTTTCACCTGGACTCACTTCTCCAGAGACCACAGGGGGCGTGGTCAGTCTGAGGGGGCGTGGTCAGCCTACCAACAGCTGATCAGAGACACGTCGCACCGTTACGTTTCTCTGACAAAGGCAGACGTCTAAACATGTGGTGATAAAACAGAACTAGCTTCTTTACACTTTTGTTTTATTAAAAAAACCTTCTCAGCCTCAGCACTTTAGTCACAGCTGTTTTAAATGTGCTACCCTAACCCTAGCAGCAAAAATAAAAAATAACTTGAATCTTTCTAAAAAGCTAACAATAGTAATAATCAGCTACAGGCCTTCAGGTCACAGCAGCAGAGGTGGAGTAGCCTCTGGGTGGAGCAGGACGGGTCACAGCAGCAGAGGTGGAGTAGCCTCTGGGTGGAGCAGGACAGGTCACAGCAGCAGAGGTGGAGTAGCCTCTGGGTGGAGCAGGACAGGTCACAGATGCAGAGGTGGAGTAGCCTCTGGGTGGAGCAGGACAGGTCACAGATGCAGAGGTGGAGTAGCCTCTGGGTGGAGCAGGACAGGTCACAGCAGCAGAGGTGGAGTAGCCTCTGGGTGGAGCAGGGCGGGTCACAGCAGCAGAGGTGGAGTAGCCTCTGGGTGGAGCAGGACAGGTCACAGCAGCAGAGGTGGAGTAGCCTCTGGGTGGAGCAGGACAGGTCACAGCAGTAGAGGTGGAGTAGCCTCTGGGTGGAGCAGGACGGGTCACAGCAGCAGAGGTGGAGTAGCCTCTGGGTGGAGCAGGACAGGTCACAGCAGCAGAGGTGGAGTAGCCTCTGGGTGGAGCAGGACAGGTCACAGCAGTAGAGGTGGAGTAGCCTCTGGGTGGAGCAGGACGGGTCACAGCAGCAGAGGTGGAGTAGCCTCTGGGTGGAGCAGGACAGGTCACAGCAGCAGAGGTGGAGTAACCTCTGGGTGGAGCAGGATGTCGAGCAAAGTCCTTGAACCTGAACCAGACATGTGCTCCACTCGGATGGAAACAGTTATTGTTTGTGTTGTTTCTTATGTGTGTGCAGCGCCTGGAGAAGGACCTCTCCACTTTTGTCCAGGAGGAGCTGAAGAAGTTCCAAAGGCTTCTGAGCACAGATTACCCAGAATGCTTAGAGCCTGTGGAGGATGAGGAGCAGAGGAGCAGCAGTGAGGCGCTCCTGAAGATCACACTGAACTTCCTGAGGAGGATGGACCAGAAGGAGCTGGCTGAGCGTCTGTGGAGCAGTAAGAACACGTTCATGATGGTCATGTGATCTTCTCTGACTCTGTCTCTGTTGTCTTCATTCAGGGACTTATTCTGGACGTTCTCAGCGTAAACTGAAGGAGCATCTGCAGCAGAGGTTTGAGGGCATCGCTAAAGCAGGAGCCCCCACCCTCCTGAAGCAGATCTACACCGAGCTCTACATCACAGAGGGAGGCTCTTCAGAGGTCAACCAGGAACATGAGGTCCGACACATGGAAGCAGCCTCCAGGAGACCAGCAGAGAGAACCATCACATGTGAAGACATCTTTAAAGACCAGGCCCACTCAGACAAACCAATCAGAACGGTGCTGACAAAGGGCGTGGCTGGCATCGGGAAAACAGTGCTCACTCAGAAGTTCAGTCTGGACTGGGCTGAAGGCAAAGCCAACCAGGACCTCCAGCTGCTGTTCCCCTTCACTTTCAGAACTCTCAATGTTGTGAAGGACAGAAGCTTCAGCCTGGTGTCACTTGTTCATCACTTCTTTAGTCAAACACAAGCAGATCTCTGCAGCTTTGAAGACCTCCAGGTGCTCTTGATCTTTGACGGTCTGGACGAGTGCAGACTTCCTCTGGACTTCAGCAGCTCTCGTGTCCTCTCAGACCCCACAGAGTCCGTCTCTCTGGACCTGCTGCTGGTGAACCTCATCAGGGGAGCCTGCTTCCCTCCGCTCGCCTCTGGATCACCACACGCCCCGCGGCGGCCAATCAGATCCCTGCAGAGTGCGTCTCCATGGTGACAGAGGTCCGAGGGTTCAGCGACTCTCAGAAGGAGCAGTACTTCAGGAGGAGGTTCGGAGAACAGGCCGACACAGTCCTCTCCCACATCAAGACGTCCAGAAGCCTCCACATCATGTGCCACATGCCAGTCTTCTGCTGGATCACTGCCACCGTCCTGGAGCATGTGTTGAAGAGCAGAGAGAGAGGAGAGCTGCCCAAGAGCCTGACGCAGATGTACAGCCACTTCCTGGTGGTTCAGGCCAAAGTCAAGAACATCAAGTATAAAGAAGGATCAGAGACAGACCCACACTGGAGTCCAGACACCAGGAAGATGGTGAAGTCTCTGGGAAAACTGGCCTTTGAGCAGCTGCAGAGAGGAAACCTGATCTTCTACGACTGTGACCTGAGCGAGTGTGGGCTGGACGCTGCAGCCGCCTCAGTGTACTCCGGAGTCTTCACACAGGTCTTTAGAGAGGAGCCAGGCCTGTACCAGGACAAGGTCTACTGCTTCATCCATCTGAGTGTGCAGGAGTTTCTGGCTGCTCTTCACGTCCATCAGACCTTCATCAACACTGGAAGTAATCTGCTGGTAGAGAGAAAGTCCATAATGTCCACGATAAAGCATCGCGTCACTGAAAAAGATTTACTACTAGAACTACAATTCTTCCAGACAGCTGTGGACCAGGCCTTACTGAGTCCAAACGGACATCTGGACCTACTCCTCCGCTTCCTCCTGGGCCTGTCAGTGTCGACCAATCAGAGCCTTCTAAACGGTCTGCTGACACAGACAGGGAGTAGCTCCCAGACCAATCAGAAGACAGCAGAGTACATAAAGAAGAAGCTGAGTGAGGATGTGTCTGCAGAGAGGAGCATCAGTCTGCTCCACTGTCTGAATGAACTGAATGATTCTTCTCTGGTGGAGCAGATCCAACAGACCCTGTGGTCAGGACGTCTGTCTGAAGGACTGTCTCCTGCTCAGTGGTCAGCTCTGGCCTTCATCTTACTGTCATCAGAAGAAGATCTGGACCAGTTTGATCTGAGCAGATACTGTGCTTCAGAGGAGGCTCTCCTGAGGCTGCTGCCAGTGGTCAAGGCCTCCACCAAAGCTCTGTGAGTAACCTTTGTTTAACACAGGATTCATTCAACTTCTACATAACCATGTTTTCTGTCTCCAGACTGAGCTGCTGTGAGCTGTCAGACAGAAGCTGTGGAGCTCTGGCCTCAGTCCTCAGCTCCCAGTCCTCTAGTCTGAGAGTCCTGGACCTGAGTCACAACGACTTGAAGGACTCAGGGCTGAAGCTGTTGTCTGATGGACTGAAGAGTCCTCACTGTAAACTGGAGACGCTCAGGTCAGAGGGTTCATATGATTCAATCTGAAGAGACCAAGACAAACACGTTAATGCATTTAGAAAGATTTATTGTTTGCCACATTGACCCCGGCAGTGACACTTGTAGAGGGGAGATCATTTGCTGCTGAAGATGATCTCAGATCCCCAAAGAGAAAACTGAGCTTGACGAGTCCAGCTCGATGTGGGTTTGTGTGTGCCGGGAATAAACAAAACACCTGTTGGTAGTCACCTGGCGTGGATACGCAGGGACGCTTAGGCTGCTGCAGTGAGTGAGTTTATGAAGCGTAAGCAGCAGAGAAATAGACACTCTGTAGTGAAACAATCACATATGAAGAGAATAATGCAGGGAATATGCAGGGATGCGTCATCGTGGCTCAGTAGTGAACATGCGTGTATGAAGCGTAGGCCTTGGGGATGTGCAGAGATGCTTCTCAGGCGCAGGCCGCTTCGTGAGGTGCGTGTATGAAGCGTAGGCCTTGGGGATGTGCAGAGAGGCTTCTCAGGCGCAGGCCGCTTCGTGAGGTGCGTGTATGAAGCGTAGGCCGCAGAGGGTATGCAGGGATGTGTCACCGGCAAAGAGCAGCTGCTGTGAGAGTGAATGTATGAAGCGTAGGACACAGAGAGTCTATGAATGTCAGGAATGCAGTGTGACAGACATTATGAATGCTAACGTGGGAGAAGAGCATTAGCCACCACCAGAGTATTTGATGATTAATTACCTCAGATTGAAGAGAGGGAGCGCTGAGCAGACAGTACAGAGTCAGTGTTTGGTCTGATATAGGATGAGGCAGAACCAGCCGAGGCAGGACCAGCTGAGGAGGACCAGCGGAGGAAGACCAGCGACCCATTTTCTGTAGGGAAGAGTAAGGAAAGCCCAGCAGGCTGCCGTTCGGCGCCTATTCTGAACGAGCGTCCGGTATTGTAGAGGAGAGAGGTTGCAGGAGACCGGCCGGAATTTAAGATGGGCTCAAACATGGGCTCAACATGATATTGTTTGAGAGAGAAAGAGCGGGCCGTCTGAATCTCCTCTCTGAGCACGGAGAGGTGCAGATTATAGTGATCGGGTAATAATTAGTCCTTGGGGTCTATTGTCAAAAAAATGACGGACGTGTCTCTGAATTTGGTACAGAAATAAGACAAGATTCAAGAGTTAAATATAAAACAATATTTAATTCTCTTTACAATACAAAACTCTCTGAGCTCTGTTTCCCAAACTAACCCTATGAGCTGAGCCATTGTACCTCTCCCTCCAGGCCTGTAAATGTACTGAGAGGACATCCAGACGCTCTGCCATGTCCTCTCTCTGTCCCTGCTCAGACTGCTCACAAAATGTCCTACCAACAGTTTTATGGAAATGTCCGATGACGTCATATGGTGAGACCGACTGAGGCCCTGGTCTGGGTCTGGTCTAGTCCGGTTTTGGGTCTCAGGCCTTGTCCCGATAAGAGAGGCATGTTGTTCCTAAAATGATACTTATATCACAGAAACCAACATTGTCCTTGAATATTCCCTGAATTCACTAAACTCAGGCTAAACATTAAACAAAGGCTTTTTATGCAAACACCTAATGATAATCATTAGTATAAAACATTTTATGGAGACATTTCTGAAATCTACATCAGGTCCTATTATTCCAGGGATTCATTAAACTTCTACATAACCATGTTTTCTGTCTCCAGACTGAGCTGCTGTGAGCTGTCAGACAGAAGCTGTGGAGCTCTGGCCTCAGTCCTCAGCTCCCAGTCCTCTAGTCTGAGAGTCCTGGACCTGAGTCTCAACGACTTGAAGGACTCAGGGCTGAAGCTGTTGTCTGATGGACTGAAGAGTCCTCACTGTAAACTGGAGACGCTCAGGTCAGAGGGTTCATATGATTCACTGTTCTTACAGAACCTGTTGGTCATTGTTTTGGACAATACCAGTGGACAAAGACAGTTAAAGATAAAGGATTGTTCCGTGTCTCATTTGGGTTGAATGTTAGTCATGAACTGAGTGATTACAATAATGTGTGTGTTCAGTCTGTCAGGTTGTTTGGTGTCAGAGGAAGGCTGTGCTTCTCTGGCCTCAGCTCTGAGGTCCAACCCCTCCCATCTGAGAGAACTGGACCTGAGCTACAACCATCCAGGAGACACAGGAGTAAAGCTGCTGTCTGCCCTGCTGGAGGACCCCCACTGCACCCTGCACACTCTCAGGTATGGTCTGTAAGGACAGAAGAGACATGTGACATCACACATCAAAGAATACATGACCTTAGTGTGACAGATGTTTTAACGAGATTTAATGTGTTTCAGACTGGAGCATTCTGGAGCTCAGAGGTTAACTCCAGGACCCAGAAAGTGTGAGTGTTGAAGTGACTTCATTAAAAGGTTCATTCTCCTGGAGCTCACTGCTTATGGAGCTGAGTTTGGGGAAAATGGAAAAGGACAAACTAGAGATGAAGCTTAACCCTTTAAGCGCCAAAGCAACATTGCTCCTTTAAACAGGCTGTATCTTTAAATATGGTGTTGAATCTTGTTCATACTTTTGACCAGGAGATGGCAGACATGTGTGCCTGTAATGTGAGCAGCATTTGTGGGCGTGGTTTTATGAAAAGTTTTTGAGTAAAATGAGTTTGTGTGACAGCCTTCGGCGCACTTAGGCGGAGGCAGAGAAGTGGCAGTAGTGCAGAGCGTAGCGAGAGCAGAACATAGAGAAAGAGTGTTTTTTCATTCATTCACGATGAAGAGAGGTTGTTTTACCGTTGATGAAGTACTTGGTCAGGTGCTAGCTGACTCAGATTCAGAGGAGGAGGACACGGAGTTGTCCAGTGAAGCAGAAAGTAACATGAGTAGTGACGGTCCTCGCGTCATAGTCCACAGTCTGCCCACAGTATAGCGGATACTTCACCTCAACGTGGCCGGGGGGGGGGACATTCTGCAAACACTGAGCAGGGGACGTGGTCGTGGGGGCATGGGTGAATGTAGTGGGGAGAGTGGAAACCACCGCGGTTGTCGTGGTAGACAAGGGACAAGCCGCGGGGGAAAACACCGCTAATGGCGTTCCCAGACCAGCGGTGGTGACGATGATGAGGATGGCTGGCAGCTCTTGAGAGTAGATGAAGATTATCAAAAGTGGATCAGAGATTTTGAAGAGCCTGTTGGTTATTGTGGAGATAATATGACAAATTCTGAGCCCATTGATTTCATTTCTCTGTTTCTCAATGACACATTCTGAAGCCTCATTTCCACTGAAACAAGTACATATGTCCACCAGTTTTTTGAAAGAGAAACCTTGAAACCAAACTCTAGATTTCATGAATGGTATGATGTGACTGTCCCTGAAATGAAAGCTTTCATCTCACTTCACTTGTGCATGGGGCTTGTTGAAAAAGGCAGGTTTTTGGCCAACTTCCACTCCTGGCTTTGGCAAAGTGATGGTGAGAAACAGATTTGAAATCATTCTTTCTTTCCTTCACTTTGTAAATAATGAGGACCGCATTGAAAGGGGCCGGGTCATGATAGACTTTTCAAACTGCGTCCTATAATTGAATAAATACTTTTATTCGAGCCATGTCAGACAAGAACAAGAAACAGCAACAAAACAACTGAATAGAAAAAAAACATTAAAACAAATAAACAATAAGCCCATATACAATATGTTTGTTTTATTAACAACAAGTCAGCTCGAAAAGGAGTGGGAAGAAGTTAAGACTTTTAAACTCCCACCCCCTATTTATTATTCTAATTTAATTAACTTAAATGATGCGGTTGCTCTAGCTTAGCTTAGTCAGTGGTTTATTTACAGTTATGCAACAGTGACTATATATATATATATATAATTGTCCACTCACCTTTGGCCCTCCGCGGGCGGTTATCCCTCTCTAAGCTCGGGTCCTCTACCAGAGGCCTGGGAGCTTGAGGGTTCTGTGCAGTATCTTTGCTGTTCCTAGCACTGCACATTTCTGGACCGAGATGTCCGAGGTTGTTCCGGGGATCCGCTGTAACCACTCATCTAGCTTCGGGGTCACTGCCCCGAGTGCACCGATCACCACGGGCACTACTGTGACCTTTACCCTCCAGGCCCTCTCCAGCTCCTCTCTGAGACCTTGGTATTTCTCAAGCTTTTCATGTTCTTTTTTCCGGATGTTACCATCGCTTGGAATTGCCACGTCCACCACCACGGCTGTCCTCTGCCCTTTGTCCACCACCACGGCTGTCCTCTGCCCTTTGTCCACCACCACGATGTCAGGTTGGTTCATTACCGTTCGGTCGGTCTGTATCTGGAAGTCCCACAGGATCTTCGCACGCTCATTTTCCACCACCTTTGGAGGAGTTTCCCACTTAGACCTTGGGGTTTCCAGTTGGATCGTCTCAGGTGCCTCTTTGCACAACCGACACCTTGGGTCTTGTCTGGTGTGGTATATCTGGGCCTCTATCGCTCTGGTGCTCAGGGCCTGTTCCTGTGCAGCCATGATGAGTGCCTCTGTGCTGTCCTGTAGGCCAGCCCTTTCTAGCCATTGGTAGGACTTCTTGAGATCAGCCACTTCTGTTATGCTCCGGTGGTACATGCCGTGTAGGGGCTTGTTCTCCCATGATGGGCTCTCCTCCAGCACCTCCTCGTGTAGGGGCTTGTTCTCCCATGATGGGCTCTCCTCCAGCACCTCCTCATCTCGCCACTGCCTGAGACATTCACTGAGTACGTCATCCGTTTTGGCCTTCTCCATGATGTAGTTATGGAGTTTGGATGTTTGGTCCTGGACAGTGGCTCTCACACTCACTAGTCCTCGGCCTCCTTCTTTACGGCTTACGTACAGTCTCACGGTGCTGGATTTGGGATGGAACCCGCCATGCATGGTAAGGAGCTTTCGAGTTTTAACATCCGTGGTCTGAATCTCTTCCTTTGGCCACCTGATTATTCCTGCAGGGTATCTGATCACTGGCAGGGCGTAGCTGTTAATTGCCCGGGCCTTGTTCTTGCCATTGAGCCGGCTTCTTAGGACCTGCCTTACTCGCTGGAGGTATTTGGCAGTTGCCGCTTTCCTCGTCACCTGTTCGAGGTTGCCATTTGCCTGTGGTATACCGAGATACTTGTAACTGTCCTCAACGTCTGCTATTGTTCCCTTATCTATATATATATATATATATATATATATATATATAAGTTAATATGCCTTTGATTTACACAGTATATGTATAATATGTTTATATTCTTGTTACCTTATATGCCTTTAGGTGTCATAACGTCATCATCATCACCACATAACCACATCATTTTCATGTTTATAATTTTCATTATCATGTATATTGTATATATATAATTAAATAGGATTATAGAATATTGTATATTTACTATTAAATAAATGTATTACTAATTACTAGTGTTATACGTGAGTTAAATTTGATCATTGGTGCTGATGGAGCAAGCTTGTATTTAGATGGTGTGTTATTTATAAAGGGAGTCTCTGCGTCCACAGATCGGCCTCCAGAGGGAGCAGCCTCCAGAGGGAGCAGCCTCTAGAGGGAGCAGCCTCTAGAGGGAGCAGCTTCCAGAGGGAGCAGCCTCCAGAGAGAGCAGCCTCTAGAGGGAGCAGCCTCCAGAGGGAGCAGCCTCTAGAGAGAGCAGCCTCTAGAGGGAGCAGCCTCCAGAGGGAGCAGCCTCTAGAGGGAGCAGCCTCCAGAGGGAGCAGCCTCTAGAGGGAGCAGCCTCCAGAGGGAGCAGCCTCTAGAGGGAGCAGCCTCCGGAGGGACCAGCCTCCAGAGAGAGCAGCCTCTAGAGGGAGCAGCCTCTAGAGGGAGCAGCCTTCAGAGGGAGCAGCTCCCAGAGGGAGCAGCCTCCAGAGGGAGCAGCCTTCAGAGGGAGCAGCTTCCAGAAGGAGCAGCCTCTAGAGGGAGCAGCCTCCAGAGGGAGCAGCCTCCAGGGGGAGCAGCCTCCGGAGGGAGCAGCCTCCAGAGGGAGCAGCCTCCGGAAGGAGCAGCCTCCGGCGGGAGCAGCCTCCGGCGGGAGCAGCCTCCGGCGGGAGCAGCCTCCGGAGGGAGCAGCCTCCGGCGGGAGCAGCCTCCGGAGGGAGCAGCCTCCGGCGGGAGCAGCCTCCAGTGGGAGAAGCCTTTGGAAGGAGCAGCCTCCAGAGGGAACAGCCTCCAGAGGGAGCAGCCTCTAGAGGGAGCAGCTTCCAGAGGGAGCAGCCTCCGGAGGGAGCAGCCTCCAGAGGGAGCAGCCTCCGGAGGGAGCAGCCTCCGGCTGGAGCAGCCTCCGGAGGGAGCAGCCTCCAGTGGGAGAAGCCTTTGGAAGGAGCAGCCTCCAGAGGGAACAGCCTCCAGAGGGAGCAGCCTCCGGAGGGAGCAGCCTCCGGAGGGAGCAGCCTCCGGAGGGAGCAGCCTCCGGAGGGAGCAGCTTCCGGAGGGAGCAGCTTCCGGAGGGAGCAGCCTCCGGAGGGAGCAGCTTCCGGAGGGAGCAGCTTCCGGAGGGAGCAGCCTCTAGAGGGAGAGGGAGCAGCCTCCAGAGGGAGCAGCCGCCAGAGGGAGCAGCCTCTAGAGGGAGAGGGAGCAGCCTCCAGAGGGAGCAGCCTCCAGAGGGAGTAGCCCCCAGAGGGAGCAGCCTCCGGGGGGAGCAGCACCCAGCGGGAGCAGCCTCCGGAGGGAGCAGCCTCCAGAGGGAGCAGCCTCCAGAGGGAGCAGCCTCCAGAGGGAGCAGCCTCCAGAGGGAGCAGCCTCCAGAGGGAGCAGCCTCCAGAGGGGGCAGCCTCCAGAGGGGGCAGCCTCCAGAGGGAGCAGCCTCCAGAGGGAGCAGCCTGCAGAGGGAGCAGCCTCCAGAGGGAGCAGCCTCCAGAGGGAGCAGCCTCCAGAGGGAGCAGCCTCCAGAGGGAGCAGCCTCCAGAGGGAGCAGCCTCCAGAGGGAGCAGCTTCCAGAGGGAGCAGCCTGTGAGCTGCAGATCTTTGCTACGTGTCCTAATCTGTGCATTAAAAGACACAGTATGTGGGGGTCCTCTGCCAGAGGGTTCCTCCTGCAGCAGAGCCCCCCTGCCTACCCTGTACTTTGAGGGTTCCTCCAGCAGCAGAGCCCCCCTGCCTACCCTGTACTTTGAGGGTTCCTCCAGCAGCAGAGCCCCCCTGCCTACCCTGTACTTTGAGGGTTCCTCCAGCAGCAGAGCCCCCCTGCCTACCCTGTACTTTGAGGGTTCCTCTAGCAGCAGAGCCCCCCTGCCTACCCTGTACTTTGAGGGTTCCTCCAGCAGCAGAGCCCCCCTGCCTACCCTGTACTTTGAGGGTTCCTCCAGCAGCAGACCCCCCTGCCTACCCTGTACTTTGAGGGTTCCTCCAGCAGCAGAGCCCCCTGCCTACCCTGTACTTTGAGGGTTCCTCCAGCAGCAGAGCCCCCCTGCCTACCCTGTACTTTGAGGGTTCCTCCAGCAGCAGAGCCCCCCTGCCTACCCTGTACTTTGAGGGTTCCTCTAGCAGCAGAGCCCCCCTGCCTACCCTGTACTTTGAGGGTTCCTCCAGCAGCAGAGCCCCCCTGCCTACCCTGTACTTTGAGGGTTCCTCCAGCAGCAGACCCCCCTGCCTACCCTGTACTTTGAGGGTTCCTCCAGCAGCAGAGCCCCCCTGCCTACCCTGTACTTTGAGGGTTCCTCCAGCAGCAGAGCCCCCCTGCCTACCCTGTACTTTGAGGGTTCCTCCAGCAGCAGAGCCCCCCTGCCTACCCTGTACTTTGAGGGTTCCTCATGGTTGATGTGATGACGCCTATAACAAAAATAATAATTTCTATAACAATACAAACATAGTGACAATCAAAAAAATACCTTAATAACCCCAATAAATGCCCTAGTACAGACACACACAGACACAGACACACACACACAGACACACACACAGACACACACACACAGACACACACACACACACACACACACACACACAGACACACACACACAGACACACACACACACACACAGACACACACACACAGACACACACACACACACACAGACACACACACACAGACACACACACACACACACAGACACACACACACACAGACACACACACACACACAGACACACACACAGACACACACACACACACACAGACACACACAGACACACACAGACACACACACAGACACACACACACAGACACACACACACACACAGACACACACACACACAGACACACACACACACACACAGACACACACAGACACACACACAGACACACACACACACACACAGACACACACACAGACACAGACACACACACACAGACACACACACGGACACACACACACACACAGACACACACACACACACACACACACAGACACACACACACACACACAGACACACACACACACACACACAGACACACACACACACACACACACACAGACACACACACACAGAGACACACACACAGACACAGACACACACACACACACACACACACAGACACACACAGACACACACACAGACACACACACAGACACAGACACACACACGGATACACACACACACACACACACACACACAGACACACACAGACACACACATAGACACACACACAGACACATACACACACACACACAGATTATAACACCCTTCTCTGTGAGTAAAGTGTTTCTCAGATTATAACACCCTTCTCTGTGAGTAAAGTGTTTCTCAGATTATAACACCCTTCTCTGTGAGTAAAGTGTTTCTCAGATTATAACACCCTTCTCTGTGAGTAAAGTGTTTCTCAGATTATAACACCCTTCTCTGTGAGTAAAGTGTTTCTCAGATTATAACACCCTTCTCTGTGAGTAAAGTGTTTCTCAGATTATAACACCCTTCTCTGTGAGTAAAGTGTTTCTCAGATTATAACACCCTTCTCTGTGAGTAAAGTGTTTCTCAGATTATAACACCCTTCTCTGTGAGTAAAGTGTTTCTGGATATTTGAAGGAAAAACCATTTTGTTGTCTTTAAATAAAAGTTGAGCTGTATAAAAATCCACTAGATCAGTGAGTTAGATTATTTTAGACTGCAGAAATAAAGTATGAGTGTGATCTAGATATCCAGCCTTATGAATTGTTCTTACGGCGCGTTTGTGAAGTACAACCAGGGGATGAATTGAGCATTTGTAGTTATTGCCCCAAACCTCTACACAGTATAATTGCATTGATCATTCCCCGTTTTGCCGCTGTGTATGGTCCATCGAAGGAACCTTCCTTGGAGGAAATGACAATGGCATTCAGGGGAAGGTCAACATTGAAATTGTACAACCCTAAAAAACCTGATAAATATGGCTACAAAGCATTTGTCTTGAGTGAGGCCAGCTCAGGTTATGTAATAGAGTGGTGCCTCTACAGTGGCAAAAATACAACTGATGAGGACCATTTAGGGGCAACACATCATATTGTCCGTCAGCTGCTTGCCCCGCACACTGGGAAAGGGCAGAGGTGTACATGGACAGCTGCTACACATCACCAGCCTTAGCTATTGAGTTAGCCGCTAAAGACAGCGGACTGTGTGGGACAGTGAACTACAACAGAAGAGGGATGCCAAAGGGGCTGAAACCAGCTGCCTCTGAGAAGGCCAGACCCAGTGTTCATGCGTCATGATAAACTGCTGGCTTGTGCTTGGCATGACACAAACCATCTCACGCTGCTGTCCACCAATCATGGCAGGGCTTTGACTTTTGCACAAAAAACACATTCCAAATGTGTTTGTTTATTCATTTCAATATTTAAACATATTTGAATATTTAATCCAAATATATTGAGTATTAAATGCCCTCAGTGAGACCTAGGCAAGGAAAGGCAAGTTTATTTATATAGAACAATTCATACACAAGGCAACTCAAAGTGCTGAACAAAACAAGAAAGCATTAAAATCATAAATAATCACAGAACATTAAAAATAAAGATAAAAATATAAAATCCTTCAGTTGTAGCACAGCTAAACAGAACTGTCTTTAACCTGGTTTTGAACATTGTCAGAGAGGAGGCCTGTCTCACATCTTCAGGAAGACTGTTCCAGATTTTAGCAGCATGAATCTGAAAAGCAGCCTCCCCATGTTTAGTTCTGACTCTGGGCACTAACAGGAGTCCAGTCCCTGTGCTCCTCAGAGTCCCAGCAGGAGTCCAGTCCCTGTGCTCCTCAGAGTCCCAGCAGGAGTCCAGTCCCTGTGCTCCTCAGAGTCCCAGCAGGAGTCCAGTCCCTGTGCTCCTCAGAGTCCCAGCAGGAGTCCAGTCCCTGTGCTCCTCAGAGTCCCAGCAGGAGTCCAGTCCCTGTGCTCCTCAGAGTCCCAGCAGGAGTCCAGTCCCTGTGCTCCTCAGAGTCCCAGCAAGAGTCCAGTCCCTGTGCTCCTCAGAGTCCCAGCAGGAGGCCAGTCCCTGTGCTCCTCAGAGTCCCAGCACGAAGCCAGTCCCTGTGCTCCTCAGAGTCCCAGCAGGAGTCCAGTCCCTGTGCTCCTCAGAGTCCCAGCAGGAGTCCAGTCCCTGTGCTCCTCAGAGTCCCAGCAAGAGTCCAGTCCCTTTGCTCCTCAGAGTCCCAGCAGGAGTCCAGTCCCTTTGCTCCTCAGAGTCCCAGCAGGAGTCCAGTCCCTTTGCTCCTCAGAGTCCCAGCAGGAGGCCAGTCCCTGTGCTCCTCAGAGTCCCAGCAAGAGTCCAGTCCCTTTGCTCCTCAGAGTCCCAGCAGGAGTCCAGTCCCTGTGCTCCTCAGAGTCCCAGCAGGAGTCCAGTCCCTGTGCTCCTCAGAGTCCCAGCAGGAGTCCAGTCCCTGTGCTCCTCAGAGTCCCAGCAGGAGTCCAGTCCCTGTGCTCCTCAGAGTCCCAACAGGAGTCCAGTCCCTGTGCTCCTCAGAGTCCCAGCAGGAGTCCAGTCCCTGTGCTCCTCAGAGTCCCAACAGGAGGCCAGTCCCTGTGCTCCTCAGAGTCCCAGCAAGAGTCCAGTCCCTGTGCTCCTCAGAGTCCCAGCAGGAGTCCAGTCCCTGTGCTCCTCAGAGTCCCAGCAGGAGTCCAGTCCCTGTGCTCCTCAGAGTCCCAGCAAGAGTCCAGTCCCTGTGCTCCTCAGAGTCCCAGCAGGAGTCCAGTCCCTGTGCTCCTCAGAGTCCCAGCAGGAGTCCAGTCCCTGTGCTCCTCAGAGTCCCAGCAGGAGTCCAGTCCCTGTGCTCCTCAGAGTCCCAGCAGGAGTCCAGTCCCTGTGATCCTCAGAGTCCCAGCAGGAGTCCAGTACCTGTGCTCCTCAGAGTCCCAGCAGGAGTCCAGTCCCTGTGCTCCTCAGAGTCCCAGCAGGAGTCCAGTCCCTGTGCTCCTCAGAGTCCCAGCAGGAGTCCAGTCCCTGTGCTCCTCAGAGTCCGGGCTGGTTCATATGGGACTAACATGTCACTAATGTATTTTGGTGCGAGGCCATGGAGAGACTTGTAACAAGCAGAGCTGTTTTAAAGTCTATTCTCTGAGCCACAGGAAGCCAGTGCAGAGACCTGAGGACTGGACTAATGTGGTCGTACTTCCTGATTCTAGTCAGGACTAATGTGGTCGTACTTCCTGGTTCTAGTCAGGACTAATGTGGTCGTACTTCCTGGTTCTAGTCAGGACTAATGTGGTCGTACTTCCTGGTTCTAGTCAGGACTAATGTGGTCGTACTTCCTGGTTCTAGTCAGGACTAATATGGTCGTACTTCCTGGTTCTAGTCAGGACTAATGTGGTCGTACTTCCTGGTTCTAGTCAGGACTAATGTGGTCGTACTTCCTGGTTCTAGTCAGGACTAATGTGGTCGTACTTCCTGGTTCTAGTCAGGACTAATGTGGTCGTACTTCCTGGTTCTAGTCAGGACTAATGTGGTCGTACTTCCTGGTTCTAGTCAGGACTAATATGGTCGTACTTCCTGGTTCTAGTCAGGACTAATGTGGTCGTACTTCCTGGTTCTAGTCAGGACTAATGTGGTCGTACTTCCTGGTTCTAGTCAGGACTAATGTGGTCGTACTTCCTGGTTCTAGTCAGGACTGGAGCTGCTGCATTTTGAATGTACTGCAGCTGTTTTACAGCCTGTTTGGACAGACCTGTGAGCAGGCCATTGCAGTAGTCTAACCTACTGGAGACAAATGCATGGATAAGAATCTCCAAGTCTGCTTTAGACACTATGTTTTTGATCCTGGCAATGTTTTTTAGATGGTAAAAAGCTGCTGATGTTACTGATTTGATGTGGCTATTAAAATTTAAGTCTGAGTCCAGTATTACCCCTAGATTTCTGACCTTGTTTGAAGGTTTTAGGGAGAGAGACTGTAGGTGACAGATGACGCTCTCTCTTTGTTTCTGGGGACCAAAGACAATCATTTCAGTTTTGTCTGCGTTTAGCTGAAGGAAGTTGTTTTGCATCCACTCACTGATCTGTTGGATACAGTGAAGGAGTGAGTCCACTGGTCCATGTTCTCCTGCAGTCAGTGAGACATACAGTGCCTTGCGAAAGTATTCGGCCCCCTTGAACCTTTCAACATTTCGCCATATTTCGGGCTTCAAACATAAAGATATAAAATTTAAATTTTTCGTCATGAATCAACAACAAGTGGGACACAATCGTGAAGTGGAACGAAATTTATTGGATAATACTTAGCAGCAACCGGCGCGCCGGCGGCTGTTTTTATGTTTTTAAATGTTCTGCTGGCAATAGCAGATGTATTTTGAACACCAAACCCCAAAAGCTGTATATCATTTTAAAGCTTATTTTCTTATCTACATTTATATACAAGTGTAAACTACATCAGACTTTGCATTCAAAAGATATAACACATAATGTGGGCACAAAATAAATTTTGTACCTTTGAGCTTGTGCTGTACAAATAAATCAGCTCTCCTCCCAGCTTGCAATACATCATTCTCTCTGGAACAGTCCAAAGGAAAATTATATCCACTTGTATTTCCCAAAGTAAAATCCATTCTGCAGAAATAATCCAAAAATGTGCATTTATCTTTAGCGAAAAAAACGAAAAAAAAGAGCACAGATGTTACTCTTTCACTTGTAACGGACTTTTAGCTTTGTTTTTCACCCAAACATCTGGTATCCACGTGTTCCTTAGCTCCTTATCTTTCAAATGAGACTACTCCCGAAAAGCTAGACCAATTTTTGGGTCTGCAATAGGTCCCGCAAGTACCGCTCGTGCTGCTGTTTGCGCATGAAGGACTGATCTTTGTTGTGATCCCAACTTGTTTACGTTTACTTCCGGGATTTACGATTGACATGTCCTTGTAGCCAATGAGGAAAGCTTTCGAACAAGGGGTGGGACAATGGTGTCCTGTCTTATGTTGTGCCTGGACAATTGTGCGTAATGGAAGCCAAAAGACGCTCTCGAAGCTGCAATGAATTTACACTCATAAAAAAATAACTTTGACATTTAAAAAAGAAAAACACACATAGATTAGTAACTTATAAGTACCAATAATAAAAAATATGGTTTTTATGATGATTAAATGTAAGTAAAGATATTTGGCACAATTTGGCACACTTGTGCCAAATTGTGCCAAATGTGCACTACTTGATGAAAAGGAGAAACTGCATAAAAACTATAAAACTTAGAAGTCTGAAACTTTAGACAGTTGTTGTCAACAACACAATGACCACAGGGTTTGAATATTGTGAACTTACAATGAAGTATGCCTTTTTTAGGGCCTTTAGAAATTGAAAATGTTAGGCGAGGCTAAAAAAATTGGGTTTTTTTCCCTAACTTCAAAGGATGCAGAGGAAAATAGGAATGACAAACATTATTTTAGTGTTTTTTTTACATAAACTAGAAGGCTCTAGCTTTAAAATGATGCATCACACAAGCATGTGAGATGTAAGATGTGTTTTTAAATAAGCAAAGACATTTGGGTATGCCCAACCATTGTGCACGAGCCAAAATGAGGCGGATGTTAAGAGGTTAAACTTTTTTAACAAATAAAAAACTGAAAAGTGGGGCGTGCAATATTATTGGGCCCCTTTACTTTCAGTGCAGCAAACTCAGTCCAGAAGTTCAGTGAGGATCTTTGAATGATCCAATGTTGTCCTAAATGACTGATGATGATAAATAGAATGCACCTGTGTGTAATCAACTCTCCGTATAAATGCACCTGCTCTTTCATAGTCTCAGGGTTCTGTTCATCTCAAACAAGAAGAAGACTGATCAGAGATGCAGTCACGAGGCCCATGATCACTCTGGATGAACTGCAGATAACTACAGCTTCAGAGATTAACTACAGATTCAAATTTGAAATTTGGTGGTGATGCTTCTATTAAAACTGCATTTCCTGATTTTTGGTCAAGCCAAGTTTCAGCCATGAACATAAGATCAAGATTATAAGAACAAATAAAATTATTGATTAAAAAAGACTTGTTACAAAGAGATCTAGCATTTAGCATAGCAAGTTTAAAAGTTTCAGTATCAGCGGTTGTGGTCGGCTGATTCTTACACGGAACAAGAATTAGATTTTCCTGATTCACTTCAGATGTCTTTCTGTTATGTATTCTTTGTGTTATCACTAAGGGAATGGCACAGGTGGCTTCAGTGAGACCTAACGTATGGCATCAAACTGAAGTTGTATGTTTTGTCCAACAGAGGGCACTGCAGAGTACTGTAAATCAAAGTCAATAAGCAGGCAGCAATGTTTTCATTTTTTTAATTGAAGATTACAAACTTTAGCGTATGCATTTGGCTTCAATAAAATCAATATAAATAAGCCATCGACTTAACTGAAAAGACAAAGTAAAGGCCTAGAAACAACACAAACACTTCCTACCATTTCATTAACATTCTGCTGCTGCTTATTTCTCTGCTCACTTTTTTAAGTTATTTACCAAAAATACAAGTCTATGAACATTTTCTGGCTGTAGTGAAGAACGTTGCTTTGTAACGATGTTCCCCGCTGTGGAAAACACTGGGATCTCACAGACGTCCCGCATATTGCCAGGTAGCCGCGTGCCAGCTGGGCCAGATGTGGATACTTAAAGCCTCCTTCCACCAGTGCAGGGGGTTGCTGTCAGATGGGGGCGGGGTCTCACTGTCGTACGTCAATATTTCTCTTAGTACATCGTCATTCGGTCTAGCTGTTCCAAATACATTATTTTTTGTTCATGTTTTATAGCGTATGTTTTATAACAATATTTTTATTTTGTTTTCAATAAATAAATACAAATGTTGTATTGATAAAACAATGGTCCGGCTGCTTCTGCCATGTTGTGGCAGTAAACATCACCAAAGAGGTCTCCCATGGCACTAAGAGCATTATTTGTGTAGCTGCTGTGTCTCTGTGGCGTTCACATCCTCTGCACCTGTCTCCTGCTGAGGTCTACAAGCTCCCTCTGAACCCTATCTCGCACCGCCTGCCGCCACTCTTCATCCAAACACACGAGCCGCTGAAAACACGGGTCCAAGTAGCTGGCTGTGTTCAGAAGCAAGAATGCATCTTTGTTGGGCCCGTATCGCGCCTTCAGATGAGCTGACATCATTTGTTTCATCTCTTTTAGTCCTGCCGGGTCATCAGTGGAGGGCTTTAGTTGTGTCAGAAGCACATACTGCAGGGGAAGGACCTGATGCTGTTGGGAAGTCTTCCATTGACAGCGCCTGAGTGGCTACTTTGAATGGTTTCAGCACGTCTTTCACCTGCGGGACAACACACAAAGTATCTAACCATGTGTGACTCTCTTCTCTACTCTTAAATAGAAAAAATAGACCAGTGAATCAGTGCGAAAACAAACAAAATGTAGGCTCTTGCAGCGTTATAGGGTTGCTGCAGTCGCTGACCGCTAGGCCAGGAGGTAGACTATAAATAGGTTATTCAGAAATCCCTTGTTTTATTTTAGAACATTATTGGTTTAAATGAAAACAAACATTTAGGCTACTAAAAAAATGGCCTGAAATGGCTGTGTCTTAGTTTATGAACATTTTTACTAACCGCTATGAGGAGCTGACAGGCCATTCCACTTGAGGTTGCACAAAACAAAAACGTAGTTTATACGCGTTATTTGCGTGTTATTGCATTGGTAAGCAGCAAGCTAATTTTAACATTAGGGGTATAATATAATGAGACCACCCAACATCATCAGCCAACGGTAGGTTACTGACCTTCTCCATTAGGGTCCACTCGACACTGCTGAGCTCCAGGGAGCTGACTTTCTTTTCCATTATCACTGCTGCAACAGGGGCTTGTTGATCAGCTGCCCCACAGATCATGTGGTAGGTACTGTTCCAGCGAGTGGGGCAGTCATTGATGAGCTGAACTGGTTTGAGACCAAGGAGCTTCTGTTTGGACTCCAGGAGATAGCTGTCTGTAGGGGAGTGTTTGAAATGTTGAGCAGCAGCCTTTAGGCGGCTGACTGCTGTTGCTACAGAACGCTCTGAAAGCCCTTTTCTGACTGCCAGGTTAATAGTATGGGCCATGCATGGGATATCCGTGATCGCTAAATGCTTCTCCACCGCATTAACATAGTTAAGCGCGTTATCAGTTGTGATTGCAAGCACCAACTCCCGCTCCACTTATATTCTTCTAAAATATTGATGATGCAGGTGGAGACTTTTGCAGCTGTGTGCGCTGTTTGAAGCTCAGATGTGTCAAGTACAACATTTTTCATCTCCCAATCTTCACTGATGGTGCTGTAACGGTCACGTACGACTCCGTGGCCAAAGAGCTCCACCCATCAGTGGTCAATGATAGCTTTTCTCCACGCAGCATTTCTTTCATTTGGCCTTTGCTTGTGTCGTACAGCTTGGTTATTTTATCACCGATTGTCCGGGGGCAGAGGAACTTGAATCGTGGCTGTAGCTCCTGAATGAATGCCTGAAATCCGCTCCCATATATAATATTAATGGGCCTCATATCCTGACAGATAAATGGGGTCAGCAAATCAGTTGCTTTGTTTTGTCGGGCATTTGGTAATCCTCGTGCATTTGGCAGCATGGAGTCGATTTTTGTCTGCCTCGGCCCCAGCGCTGACCCCTGCACCCCCTCTCCCTCCTCCAGCTTGCCGGGATGGAGAGTTGGTGAGCTCTCAGGTTGGTAGTCCCCGTGTGAAAAAACTTTCAAGCATATCATAAAAAAGCCCATTACAGCTTCGAATATTAAGGAATGTCTATATTTGTTTGAATATATATATACTTTATTGTCTAAAAAAACCTTTGGCCGTGTGTCAAAACTTGATGCAGAAAACAAGACGAAGATTTCCAAGTTAAACATCTGTATTTAATTTATCTTTACAATCAGATACAGAAACTCAAAAAAAGCTCCTTATCCTAACTATTTCTGCTCTGTTTACTTTGGGCTCACCCTATCTGACTGAACTAAAACATCAGGCTAAATCATATAAGTAATAATGTGCAGCAGGGGCGTGTCGTATCAGCCAGTTCCTGGTCCTGGTCTGGACTCTGCATCAGGTCTGGCCTTTGTCTGGTTTCTCCTCCGCATCTCTCCATTCCACACCTAAAAAGGGATTCACACTTCCAACCTATAGATTTATTCCTTCCTTGAGATAAGGAAGAACTCTCAAGGCTGCTGTCACTGGTCTGGCATCAATCTCCTCCTCTAAAGAACTCCCTTATTAGTCCAACAGCCGCTTCATAAAGAACAAACCTATGAAACCTCAAACAACACTGACAACAGAGTGTAAAAGTGTTAGACATGAAATCACGTGTGCTGCATTTCTGAGATATGCATCAACATATATATTTAATATTCTAAATATAATGGAATATCGAGTTTGGAAGTCAATACAGGACAAAGGATAATGTGACAGGGTTTCGTCACATTATGAAACCAGTGTGTGGACAGTTCCAACTCCTTTATGGGAGGAGCTGATACAGCGGATCAACGACTGAAAACAGACTTGTTTCCACAGATCTAGAAAATGGTACAACCGTATTTTTGATGCGGTTCTGAGCATCAGTGTGGTCAATGCACACATTATTTATTCACGCTGTAGTCCTGGTCCACACAACCCACTGAAGGCCTTTATTCAGGACATTATAACATCTGGGCTTGAGGGCTTCTCCAAAAGGAAAAGACTAAAGGAGGACGTCCTTCAATGGAGCAGGGAGAAATGCCACAGAGGCTCACTGAACGTCACTGGCTCTGCAACACAGAGGAACGTCCAGTGTGTTCAGATCGCACCCGCCCAAAAAGCTGTAGACAAACACAATACAGGTGCAGTCAGTGTGGAGTAGTGCCTTGGAATGAAAGATCCCACACACTGAAAAACTATAAGGAGTGTCATCTTGATCAGTGAAGGTCTTTGAAAATACATTCCCATATGGCCGCTTACCAGCACTAAAAGATTACACAAAATGGATCTGTGAATTTACAGTGCCTTGCGAAAGTATTCGGCCCCCTTGAACCTTTCAACATTTCGCCACATTTCAGGCTTCAAACATAAAGATATAAAAATAAAATTTTTTGTCAAGAATCAACAACAAGTGGGACACAATCGTGAACTGGAACGAAATTTATTGGATAATTTAAACTTTTTTAACAAATAAAAAACTGAAAAGTGGGGCGTGCAATATTATTCGCCCCCCTTGCGCTAATACTTTGTAGTGCCACCTTTTGCAGCAATTACAGCTGCAAGTCACTTGGGGTATGTCTCTATCAGTTTTGTACATCGAGAGACTGGAATTCTTGCCCATTCTTCCTTGCAAAACAGCTCGAGCTCAGTGACGTTGGATGGAGAGCGTTTGTGAACAGCAGTCTTCAGCTCTTTCCACAGATTCTCGATTGGATTCAGGTCTGGACTTTGACTTGGCCATTCTAACACCTGGATACGTCTATTTGTGAACCATTCCATTGTAGATTTGGCTTTATGTTTTGGATCATTGTCCTGTTGGAAGATAAATCTCCGTTCCAGTCTCAGGTCTTTTGCAGACTCCAACAGGTTTTCTTCCAGAATGGTCCTGTATTTGGCTCCATCCATCTTCCCATCAATTTTAGCCATCTTCCCTGTCCCTGCTGAAGAAAAGCAGGCCCAAAGCATGATGCTGCCACCACCATGTTTGACAGTGGGGATGGTGTGTTCAGGGTGATGAGCTGTGTTGCTTTTACGCCAAACATATCGTTTTGCATTGTGGCCAAAAAGTTTGATTTTGGTTTCATCTGACCAGAGCACCTTCTTCCACATGTTTGGTGTGTCTCCCAGGTGGCTTGTGGCAAACTTTAAACGAGACTTTTTATGGATATCTTTGAGAAATGGCTTTCTTCTTGCCACTCTTCCATAAAGGCCAGATTTGTGCAGTGCACGACTGATTGTTGTCCTATGGACAGACTCTCCCACCTCAGCTGTAGTTATCTGCAGTTCATCCAGAGTGATCATGGGCCTCTTGTCTGCATCTCTGATCAGTCTTCTCCTTGTTTGAGATGAAAGTTTGGAGGGACGGCCGGGTCTTGGGAGATTTGCAGTGGTCTGATACTCCTTCCATTTCAATATAATTGCTTGCACAGTGCTCCTTGAGATGTTTAAAGCTTGGGAAATCTTTTTGTATCCAAATCCGGCTTTAAACTTCTCCACAACAGTATCTCGGACCAGCCTGGTGTGTTCCTTTGTCTTCATGGTTCTCTCTGCGCTTTAAACAGAACCCTGAGACTATCAAAGAGCAGGTGCATTTATACGGAGACTTGATTACACACAGGTGCATTCTATTTATCATCATCAGTCATTTAGGACAACATTGGATCATTCAAAGATCCTCACTGAACTTCTGGACTGAGTTTGCTGGACTGAAATGACTCTTCTGGCCACCCAGGAAAAGCCTTGTTCTAGCTTCTTCCCTCTGGCAGAAGATATTGTTCTCTGAGATGCAGGACATCTCGTTATGCTAATAGTTTTTTTCCACGAGCTGTTAACAGTTTGAATAGAGCACTTTAATGTTTTTGCACTTGTACAGGATCTGTTTTAGTTGGTTGTTTCCATCCATCCATCCATTTTCTACCCTTTAATCCATTTCTGGGTCAGGGGGGTGGCAATCAGAGATGCCACCCAAGTCTCATAGCACCAGCCCCTCACTGACCCTCTGCAGGTGGTGAGTCCACAGGAGGACGGCTGCTCTCTGAGTGTGAGCATAGCCTTGATCTTTCAGTGGGGGCTTTGGGCAAAGTGGGATTAAGTGTCTTGCCCAAGGACACAACGACAGCAGTCATCAGTGGGAGTCGATGGAAAAGGTGCAGAGGTGGGAATTGAACCCACGACCTTCTGGCCTTAAGACCAATGCTCTACCAACTGAGCTACTTTTTTCACAAAAATGGGCTTAGTGCTGTATGAAAGTCCCTCGTCAAAGGCCTGGGCTCCGCACCGTGCTCCTCTTTGCTGTCATCGTCCATGTCCAGAAGTTCAACTTTTAGCACTAACCATGTTGTGGGTTTAGTCCATGGTTTTGTCAAGGAGAAAATGAGCATACAGCACTTACAGTCACACTGCTAGCTCTCAGACATGGATTTACATTTGTCAGTGTGAATGCTGTGATACAGGAAACACGGCACGGCCCCTTAGCCAATCAGGACGCAGAATACAATACGCTGGTTCTTCCTTAACCAATCAGGACGCAGAACACAATACGCTGGTTCTTCCTTAACCAATCAGGACGCAGAACACAATACGCTGGTTCTTCCTTAACCAATCAGGACGCAGAACACAATACGCTGGTTCTTCCTTAACCAATCAGGACGCAGAACACAATACGCTGGTTCTTCCTTAACCAATCAGGACGAACATGGCAAGTTCATATACAGTGATAATAATGCTAAAAGTAAATGTCTAACAGGGAATGTCCACAGTAGGCGTTAACAGCGCGTACGCGTTGACTGTGCGCATGTGCACGTGACATTATTTGGGAGTATCTACACAGGCCGTGCAGGTCTGAGGCTTCTGATGCTGTCCCTGTGTAGTCTATGGAGCAGTGCAGAGGACAGTACAGAGACTGATGTAGAGCAACACAAACCACATGTGTTTGTCTTCATGGTCTCTGTGCTGGTTTGGCCAGACGCCAGACTTTATGAAAGAAAAAAAACAATGTCCAGAATCACTGTAAAACCTGCTGCTCCTCCTGCTGATGTTTAGACACAAGTGCTGTGTGTGTGTGTGTGTGTGTGTGTGTGTGTGTGTGTGTGTGATCTAAATCCAAGGGTCACTATAAAAATCATGTTTTACATGTGTTTTCAATGGAGACGCGTTGCTGCGCGCACAAAATTAGAAATCAATCCTAAATTAGGCGCAGCTTCGCGTCATACGTCCGTCATACGTCCGTCATACGTCCGTCATACGTCCGTCACACGTCCGTCACACGTCCGTCATACGACCGTCATACGAGCGTCATACGTCCATCATACGTCCGTCATACGACCGTCATACGACCGTCATACGTCCGTCATACGTCCGTCATACGTCCGTCATACGTCCGTCATACGTCCGTCATACGTCCGTCATACGTCCATCATACGTCCGTCATACGACCGTCATACGACCGTCATACGTCCGTCATACGTCCGTCATACGTCCGTCATACGTCCGTCATACGTCCGTCATACGTCCGTCATACGACCGTCATACGTCCGTCATACGTCCGTCATACGTCCGTCATACGTCCGTCATACGTCCGTCATACGTCCGTCATACGTCCGTCATACGTCCGTCATACGTCCGTCATACGTCCATCATACGTCCGTCATACGACCGTCACACGTCCGTCAGTACGTCCGTCAGTACGTCCGTCATACGTCCGTCATACGTCCGTCATACGTCCGTCATACGTCCGTCATACGTCCGTCATACGTCCATCATACGTCCGTCATACGACCGTCATACGACCGTCATACGTCCGTCAGTACGTCCGTCATACGTCCGTCATACGAGCGTCATACGTCCGTCATACGTCCGTCATACGTCCGTCATACAAGCGTCATACGTCCGTCATACGACCGTCATACGACCGTCATACGTCCGTCATACGTCCGTCATACGAGCGTCATACGTCCGTCATACGTCCGTCATACGTCCGTCATACGAGCGTCATACGACCGTCATACGTCCGTCATACGTCCGTCATACGTCCGTCATACGTCCGTCATACGTCCGTCATACGTCCGTCATACGTCCATCATACGTCCGTCATACGTCCGTCATACGTCCATCATACGTCCGTCACACGACCGTCACACGTCCGTCATACGTCCGTCATACGTCCGTCATACGTCCGTCATACGTCCATCATACGTCCGTCATACGACCGTCATACGACCGTCATACGTCCGTCATACGTCCGTCATACGAGCGTCATACGTCCGTCATACGAGTGTCATACGTCCGTCATACGTCCGTCATACGAGCGTCATACGTCCGTCATACGACCGTCATACGACCGTCATACGTCCGTCATACGTCCGTCATACGAGCGTCATACGTCCGTCATACGTCCGTCATACGTCCGTCTTACGAGCGTCATACGACCGTCATACGTCCGTCATACGTCCGTCATACGAGCGTCATACTTCCGTCATACGAGCGTCATACGAGCGTCATACGTCCGTCATACGAGCGTCATACGTCCGTCATACGTCCGTCATACGTCCGTCATACGTCCGTCACACGTCCGTCATACGACCGTCATACGTCCGTCATACGTCCGTCATACGTCCGTCATACGAGCGTCATACGTCCGTCATACGTCCGTCATACGGCCGTCATACGTCCGTCATACGTCCGTCATACGTCCGTCATACGTCCGTCATACGAGCGTCATAAGTCCGTCATACGTCCGTCATAAGTCCGTCATACGTCCGTCATACGTCCGTCATACGAGCGTATAACACAAGTGTAAATATCATCATTGGTTTACATGGAAAAAAGTTACGCGCGTACAACGCGTACGTGCTGTGACGCGTCATGTGTAAATTAGCAGTTAGACCGCGACAAGTGAACTGCTTTTCAGCTGAGGAGACTCCTGTTCAGAATAAAGAATAACACATTTTTCCTGTTTCTGTTTTGGTGTTTGTACTTTGTGTAATTGTTTTACTATCATCATGTTTTAGATTATAGATTAGATCGTATGTCAGGTGTCTCCCAATGGAAAAAATGTTAAGCACTTTGTGATGTGAGAATTGTATACATGCATATCTAAAAAGAATTGATGCATGCATATCCCCCCTAAGGCCACTAGGGGTGCCCCCCCATCCCCCCCTCTGGAGGTAACCCTGTCTAGTAAGGTTTAGCTGTGGGGTCTTTCCCACTGGTGCCCTCTTTAAATAAAGCTAAATCTGTGTCTTCCTCACTAGACCTACTTCAGTTAACCCTTAGAATAACACTCGTGTGTGAGAGCAAACATACGCTTTATTCTAACAACCCTCTCTTTGGAGAGCACATATTCTTCCCTTACAGAGAATACGACTTTATTCCAGCTCCTCACAGCAGCAGGAGAACGCTCCATTGATTAGAACGCTCTTTCAAAACGTTCTACAGGTCATCATTTCTTATAACGGACCTGTCAAAACAATAATGACCGCTGCCCTTTGGCAACGCACTCTCTGCTTGTAATTCATTCATTGTAATTCTGTGTAGATTGCTCCGACAGTAGTTCCGGCCACTCCGGAGCTAGCCACGCTCAATCAACACAAATACCAGTCACTCAACACACTTCAATGTTAATGGGAGAATACATTAGACATATACATTCTTAATACAAGTGCATGGAGGATTTCAGAAGTATCTGTTCACGTTTTCATGACAAAAATACTGTTTTAATGCGAGAAAAGGCCATCCCAAAAAACCCGGAAGTAGATACGGCACATTTTAGGAACATTTGCAGAGGATGGAATTATGGATTTAGGTTAAGTTTATGTTTGGGTCACTCACCGCTGATGTTCAGGATTCTGTGTTCAGTTTTCATGCAGTTCCAGAGAGTTCTAGTTTGGAAGTTGTTAGCCTAACTGTTGCTAGCATAACTGATACTAGCATAGCCACGGGAAAGCCTTTGGGAACTATTTTATTTTCTGTCATTAAATCAACCTTTTGGTATTCCTAAGAGTGGACTGAAGTTTATTTTGTGTGTTCTGTTGGTACAAAGCCGTATAATAAGCGGGATCATGTATCGTACACAGGTCATTATCGGAAACCTTCAGGACGAAGCGGACCCCGACGCGCTTATTTTCCGATAATGACCTGTGTACGATACATTATCCCTTACTCATAACATTCTAGGCCAGAGTCCGAACGGTCAATGAGGCCCAAAACGAGGCCTTAAGCCCAGTCCAAACAGTTAGCATAGCCTCAACCAAGAGAAAGGAGCGCTCTTACTTTGGCTGCTGGTGGGAAAAAGCGTTTTGTTGTAGAGAGTCCGAAGTGCACACTTTTGCGTGCTGTGCGTTTGGTTACGTGTGTGATCCAGTGATGACAATGCCAGGGAAAGAGTTGTTGGTTTAAAGACGGAGGCGTGAGGCTTATGGAGGCTGTCCAGCAGATCCTCCTTGAAGATGGAAGTCAAGAGCCTGAGCCACAGTTTGGTCACGGAGAGAGCCTGCTCCCTCATTAGCCTAGTCCCGCCTCAGGGCAGACCTAGGCCTGGTAGTTATATAGACATCACAGTTATTCACTTCACTTATGTTTCACACACAACACAGATGAAAGACATTACATTCACAGGATCAATATTGTCATTGACTTATTGGGATCAATTTAGTCCATGTCCAGATATTATTTCATGGATGATGTGGAGTCTGTTCCCTTCCCCAGGGGTTAGTGAAGCATTGTCCTTGCTTTTAGCTGACCCTGCCCCCGGCGTTGGTGTGACAGAGTCTGGGCTCCAAAAGCAGCAGGAGGCCCACACCTGGTCAGGGAGGTCTGAAGGATCAGTTGAGAGAAGACCCATTCTTTGGATTCCACATTGACTCCTCTGTATGAGCGATCGGTCGCCACTAGATCATAAACCAAATCTGGACCAAACCGGAAGTAACAATCCTACTTTCAAATTAGTTTTAGACTAAAAAGTCCTTAAGTGGTGACTGGTTAAGTTTTAGGTGTCTGAGTAAGATGGTTAAGGTTAGGGTTAAGGTGGTCTGAGTAAGATGGTTAAGGTTAGGGTTAAGGTGGTCTGAGTAAGATGGTTAAGGTTAGGGTTAAGGTGGTCTGAGTAAGATGGTTAAGGTTAGGGTTAAGGTGGGTCTGAGTAAGATGGTTAAGGTTAGGGTTAAGGTGGTCTGAGTAAGATGGTTAAGGTTAGGGTTAAGGTGGTCTGAGTAAGATGGTTAAGGTTAGGGTTAAGGTGGTCTGAGTAAGATGGTTAAGGTTAGGGTTAAGGTGGTCTGAGTAAGATGGTTAAGGTTAGGGTTAAGGTGGTCTGAGTAAGATGGTTAAGGTTAGGGTTAAGGTGGTCTGAGTAAGATGGTTAAGGTTAGGGTTAAGGTGGGTCTGAGTAAGATGGTTAAGGTTAGGGTTAAGGTGGTCTGAGTAAGATGGTTAAGGTTAGGGTTAAGGTGGTCTGAGTAAGATGGTTAAGGTTAGGGTTAAGGTGGTCTGAGTAAGATGGTTAAGGTTAGGGTTAAGGTGGTCTGAGTAAGATGGTTAAGGTTAGGGTTAAGGTGGTCTGAGTAAGATGGTTAAGGTTAGGGTTAAGGTGGTCTGAGTAAGATGGTTAAGGTGAGGGTTAAGGTGGTCTGAGTAAGATGGTTAAGGTGAGGGTTAAGGTGGTCTGAGTAAGATGGTTAAGGTTAGGGTTAAGGTGGTCTGAGTAAGATGGTTAAGGTTAGGGTTAAGGTGGTCTGAGTAAGATGGTTAAGGTTAGGGTTAAGGTGGTCTGAGTAAGATGGTTAAGGTTAGGGTTAAGGTGGTCTGAGTAAGATGTTTAAGGTTAGGGTTAAGGTGGTCTGAGTAAGATGGTTAAGGTTAGGGTTAAGGTGGTCTGAGTAAGATGGTTAAGGTTAGGGTTAAGGTGGTCTGAGTAAGATGGTTAAGGTTAGGGTTAAGGTGGTCTGAGTAAGATGGTTAAGGTTAGGGTTAAGGTGGTCTGAGTAAGATGTTTAAGGTTAGGGTTAAGGTGGTCTGAGTAAGATGGTTAAGGTTAGGGTTAAGGTGGTCTGAGTAAGATGGTTAAGGTTAGGGTTAAGGTGGTCTGAGTAAGATGGTTAAGGTTAGGGTTAAGGTGGTCTGAGTAAGATGGTTAAGGTTAGAGTTAAGGTGGTCTGAGTAAGATGGTTAAGGTTAGGGTTAAGGTGGTCTGAGTAAGATGGTTAAGGTTAGTGTTAAGGTGGTCTGAGTAAGATGGTTAAGGTTAGGGTTAAGGTGGTCTGAGTAAGAGGGTTAGGGTTAAGGTGGTCTGAGTAAGATGGTTAAGGTTAGGGTTAAGGTGGTCTGAGTAAGATGGTTAAGGTTAGGGTTAAGGTGGGTCTGAGTAAGATGGTTAAGGTTAGGGTTAAGGTGGTCTGAGTAAGATGGTTAAGGTTAGGGTTAAGGTGGTCTGAGTAAGATGGTTAAGGTTAGGGTTAAGGTGGTCTGAGTAAGATGGTTAAGGTTAGGGTTAAGGTGGTCTGAGTAAGATGGTTAAGGTTAGGGTTAAGGTGGTCTGAGTAAGATGGTTAAGGTGAGGGTTAAGGTGGTCTGAGTAAGATGGTTAAGGTTAGGGTTAAGGTGGTCTGAGTAAGATGGTTAAGGTTAGGGTTAAGGTGGTCTGAGTAAGATGGTTAAGGTTAGGGTTAAGGTGGTCTGAGTAAGAGGGTTAGGGTTAAGGTGGTCTGAGTAAGATGGTTAAGGTTAGGGTTAAGGTGGTCTGAGTAAGATGGTTAAGGTTAGGGTTAAGGTGGTCTGAGTAAAATGGTTTAAGGTTAGGGTTAAGGTGGTCTGAGTAAGATGGTTAAGGTTAGGGTTAAGGTGGTCTGAGTAAGAGAGGAGGAGCACACTTATGTGGAGGAATGAAGTGTGTGATAATTTTTGACTATACTCTGTACAAATGGGGCAAGCCGCTTCTGTCATCATGCAACTACTTGGAAGGAATATGATTGGAGATCATGAGCAACTTGAACCTCCTCAGCATGATATGTTCTGCGGGTTACAGAGGCTCACTCAGGCCTCCTCCCACGACCGCCTATTACACATTACATTCTTTCTATTGTTGCGTGTATTAGCCCTAGTCACACAGAACCTCAGAGACTGAACAAAAATTTTGAATTTCATCCTACTCAGGTCAGTATTCTAATGTGTATTTCTCATTAATAAGTTTAGCCAAACTAAGATGTATATGTCCTGTCTTGTGTGTTTATGCTATATGGCCTGATCTTCACAAATCGCGTGCCTGTTGTCTACTATCTGCCAAATAGACCCTCCTGCATCGACATGGAAATATCTCTTATTAAACCCAGGGGGAAATAGGAGAATCCTGGGTGAGAACTAGGGAAACCCACAGGGAGGGAGACCCATTTGAGAAAGGGATCCGCTCCTCCGGACGGACAGACTAATGATCCAGGACCTAAGCTAGCTACAGGACGTGGACCAGTGGACGCTGAACGTGGACAGGTCCGGTGCAGGACCGAAGCACTCCCAGGCGGGTCGGGCGGGGCAGTCCGCAGGTGTAGATGGAAGAGGCCAGGCTCAGAGATCCCGTCATCGTACCATGAAACAGACAATGGGACAACGGGTGAATAGCAATGAACAAACTACAGTCAAAATCCTAAAAATGCTAAACAGATAAAGTAGGAAGGAGGAGAGGATAGTGCTCAAGTTACCATACTTCTCCCAGCAAACTGACTCCCTATGCAGCT